TACAATAACGAAAAAATGCAAGTGTTGAAAAAAAATGCAGGTCTTGTTTGTAATGTGTCCTGGTTTCATTTATTTTCTTACTCCCACCTATAATTTCATCTTACTACCGCTAATAATTTTCCATTCTTTACTATATGTATGTTTAATAAAATGACATTTAAATGCCACTTTATTAAATGCATTAAAAAATTACATTGAAAACAAATTAAAACAAAAATCGATTTGGGTTTTAATAAAATAAAAAAATAAAAAAATAAAAAAATATATATATATATATATATATATATAATTTATTTAATTTGTTATAGATGCATGAGCTATGAAATGCACTTCTCGATATAAATATATATCCTGCCTTTCTCTCTGTCTATCGACATGTTTCAGTGTGCTCAGTGCGGGTCATAGGTGAGAGTGACATTATGCAAGAATTCCTGTCTGAATCAAATGAGGTAAATACAGTATGTGTTTTCAAACATTGTATGTAGATCTGTGTGAAAATAGTTTTGCTCAGCAGCACCGTTTCAACACGTGTCTTGTGTTAAAGAACCACAACGGCATAAATGATGTCGAGCTACGGATAGCGCTGCCTGATAAAACCACAGCCTCAGTGAGAGTCAGAAAGAATAGCACCACTGACCAGGTTTACCAGGTAAAATGTCATACACCACAGTCTGGCTATCAGGCAACACAGTCTGTCTATTCAAATATCAACTCAAGGACCTCAACTGAAGCTCATCCTAGACATAAACAAGTATCATTTTCCCCTATTTTTCAGGCTCTTGTCATGAAGGTTGGAATGGACAGCATCATGGCTAGTTACTTTGCTCTCTTTGAAGTTATTAACCACTCGTTTGGTGAGCGTTCACTATATTTTCCTTCAAGTGTTTGTGTTTTGAATCAGTTTTTGGCTCGACAAGAAGAAAACTTTTAGGTATTCATTGTGGAAAGCGGATGACCTTGTTATGAAGTCAAAAGCAATTGCGTTTATGATACTTACTAAGGGCGATTAAACTGCCACTTTGTGATTCCTCCATAATCAAACAAACAAACCTTCTGTATATTTTGACCCAGCTGGCAAGCTCAGATAAGGTGCTACCCAGCACATAAAGGACACTGGGCCTTGTTAATGAAACATGAACAGCACAAATTTCAGTGCAAATCATTCGCAAAACCCTTCTTGCATAGACTTACAGAACACGCTCAGAGAAAAAGTTACAAAACTGTCACTGGGGTGGTACCCTTTCAAAAGGTACTAATATGAGCACGTTAGATACTAACATGTACTTTTAAAGTTGTAATATGTACCTTTGAGCCACTAATATTTACCATTTAGGGGTAAATAAGGTACAAAGATGTATCTTATAGCTTTTGTACCTTAGGGCACCGCCCAGTAACAGCTTTGTTCCTATTTTCTGAGAGTGAAGAATGTTGTTTGTCTGTTAATAATGCACTTGTGGGTATGTCACATATGATGGCTAAATAGTTTTAAATATCAAATTTATTGTAGAAACATATAACACGTGTGGGGCTTTCGAGCTTCAAAAATAAAGAAAACCTATCAGAAAAGTATGATTAAAGTGGTCCATGTACATTTTGCACTATTCCTGGTCATACAATAGCTTTGTGTGTTGAAATAGACTAGATCATTGAGTCAGTGAATTATTTAATGAATCAGTTTGTAAACTGGATTAGCTAATGCATTGAAAAGATCCAACTCAAAAGGCTGTGTTTATTTGATTATTATTATTATTATCATATTTAAAAATATAATTTATTTTGTGATGCCAAAAATAAATGTTCAAATATATTACTATTAATGTTGAAGACTTCTTTGATAATTTTTTTTTTTTTTAAGTTCAAAAGAATAGCATTTATTTATTCTTGCCGAATTAAAGTACTAAAAACAACTTGCTGACCCCAAATTTTCAAGGTTTCGAGATTTCATTTTGTTCATCATACCAATGCATTAGAAAACGGCTTTGTTTTCTAATGCATTGGGTTCACCATAAATCACTAAACTGTTTGTGTGCGTAGTTCACTGAAAATCTCTCTCTGTGTTGTCAGTGCGCAAATTGGCTCCTAATGAGTTCCCGCACAAGCTCTATGTTCAGAACTACACATCAGCTGTACCCGGGACGTGTCTCACGATGCGGAAGTGGCTCTTCAGCACACAGGAAGAGGAACTGCTGCAGGACAACCCTCTCGCTCTGCACTACTGCTTCCATCAGGTCAGTCCCACTGGCCTTAACCGCTGAAGTCGGTTTATTGTCAATTCTCTTTCATTGCGAATAAAATATATATATTGTTTCCAGACATTTAGCACTGTCTTTATGATGGACTCTTGTGGACTAAAGCAATAAGCACAAACACAAATGCAGACCATAAACAGCACAAATGGACTTTGTACAGCTAGCAAGGTGTCAGGTTAATGCCTCATCTAATCCCACACATGCCCATTTAGGTTTACTTTACATTTTATTCAGTGTATTTGTATAGCTATAGTCAGATAAGATGCCTCTAAAGCAAATCCGTGGTTTTAATTTAAACAGCACTTCATTTTAACCTATATAATCAGATCAGTCAGAGCTGATCATCTTTTACAATCTGTTTTTTTTCTCTCTCTCTCTTTTTTCAGGCACAGGATGATGTGAAGAAGGCATTCATTAAAGCAGAGGATAAGGCATACCAGCTGCAAAAACTAGCAGAACAGAGAAAAATGACAATGGTCTCTCATACTTTATCCATCATAGAATGCTGCATATAAATGCTATTTATCTTTTCACTGAAACCTGTGAATAACACGTCCAGGCCTCACTTCACCTCAAAATCAAATTAAAAAAAATAATAATATTAATAAAAATAAAATCAAGCCTATTTATTTTCATTTCTTTTTTTAATTAAGAAATTAAATTCGAATTACTCTAAAGCAAAAGCAAAAAAAAAATCTTTCTCATTAGTGTAATTTAAAAATACATGTAATATGGCACAGAGTGTTAGTATTATTTACATACTATTTCAGTTTTTATTGATATTTTGAATTGTTTATTTTTTCAGTTTAGGTTTTAGTAATTTTATGTTTTTGTCATTTTGTATTATTTATATGTGTATATATATATATATATATATATATGTATATGAAAGTGACGTGACGTGGCCAAGTATGGTGACCCATACTTGGAATTAGTGCTCTGCATTTAACCCAGCGCCCGGGGAGCAGTTGGGGGTTCGGTTCCTTGCTCAAGGGCACCTCAGTCGTGGTATTGAAGGTGGGAGAGAGCGCTGTACATTCACTCCCCCCACCTACAATCCCTGCCGGTACGAGACTCGAACCCACAACCTTTGGGTTACGAGTCCGACTCTAACCATTAGGCCACGACTTCCCCACATATGTATATTATATATATATTTTTTTTTTTTACTAGTAGTGATTGAGTAATTTTAGAACTTCAGCTTCTTTTATTTTAATAAGTTGCCAAGGCAACATTTTAATGTTCATTTAGTTTTAGTTAACACTGGCCGCAATACAAAAATGTTAATTGTTCTAAAATCGTCTTCATAAGGTATCATCTTTTTCTTTCTTTTGATTTTGGGGTGAATGTGACCTGGACACTCTACCTTTTTGTCACAAAGCAAAATCAATTAATAACATGTAAACACATTTGGTTTTATCATAAAATAAACATTTGCATGGTTGTACTTTTTTTCAGTATCTAAGTCTTTTGCGCTCATGTGAGGGATATAACGAGGTGATGTTCCCTCACTGTCCATGTGACTCACGGAGGAAAGGTCATGTGATCACAGCCATCAGCATGAAGCATTTCAAACTGCACGCCTGCACAGAGGACGGCACTCTTGAGGTGCGTGAATGATACCTACATCATTTTAAGGCCTAGAATGCTTCATTTGCCTCTATATCTACTAAAGCATATCATTGAATTCTGAGATGTTTTGCCCATAGTAATGCTTTATCTGTGACTCACAGAATCAGGTGATCATGTTCGAATGGTCAGAGATGCAAAGATGGGACACAGATGAAGAGGGAATGGCCTTCTGCTTTGAATATGTGCGCGGAGAAAAGAAACCTCGCTGGGTCAAAATATTCACTCCCTATGTTAGTCACCCAAAAATTTGAATTAGAGCTTCATTATTTACCTGTTGAATTATGTTTCGTAGAACATTTTGAACAGAAATAGTCCCTGAATTGTGTGTGCTTGTGTTCCCTTCTCCAGTTTAACTACATGAACGAGTGCTTTGAGAGGATTTTCTGTGAGCTCAAGTGGAAGAAAGAGGTATTAATAACTTACTTTTCTGTTATAGTTTCTTTACTTTTTCTTGTCATTTGTTGTTAATGACTTTCTTTTTGATATGTTAAAGGTTGAAGACGAGGCCTCAGACAAAGGCAATAAGAACTGTAGTAATAATGGTAAGAAGAAAACCCTTTTGCCCTCATTTTATCACACACACACGCTATTGGGATTTTTCTGAGTGTACTCATGTGATGACCATATTCACAATGAAACCTGAAATACTGGTTCATTCTTACCACACTTACTTGAAGTATCAAGTACAGAGTCACATGTCATGCGTGTGATGCTCATTTGAAATGTCAATGCATAAAATGAACCCTGCACCTTCTCGAAAGATCAAATCATGGTAATGTATTCCTTTATTATGTAAAACAAAATGCAGGAAAGGATTCAATTGCACTGTAGGCTAGACTGGAAATACTCCAGCAAATGTGCTTTTTATTACTGAACACTTATTCATTGAGCAAATAATATATTTACAGTGGGTACGGAAAGTATTCAGACCCCCTTAAATTTTTCACTCTTTGTTATATTGCAGCCATTTGCTA